ATAATTCAGGTGTTATTGTCCAAACATGTGTGTGCATATATGTATATGCAGAATATCTGTACATAATACCGGGAATACCAAAAAAGTGTATACAAGTACACACTTTGGTCAATGCTGTTCAAGCAGTAGTTTGTTGTCATCAGAAGTGTCTGGACGCTGATGGTAACCACTTTGAGAACCTCTTGTAATTGCAGAAGTCAAACGTGACTTGTATTCACCTTTTGTTATCGGTGTATATTGAGTATTACAATTTTAATACAGTGTTCCTTTCTTGAAATGTGTAAACATTTTTTGGCACCCTCTGTATATACAGTAAAACCTTGGATTGTGAGTAACTTGGTTTTTGACTGTTCCACAAGACGAGCAAAGATTTCTAATACATTTTAAAGTGGTAAGCGAGCGATGTCTTGCAATATGAATAGTTGGTTTCTGGAATGAATTATGCTCGCAAACCAAGGTATTACTATATATATATATATATATATATATATATATATATATATATATACACACACACACACATTAAATAAATAAAACTAGGATTTGTAAGAGTTTTAAAATCTATCGGGTCACACATTTCTTTAACCAAACAATAAATACTCTCTGATGAGCCATGGTACTTCATATTCACGTGTCACTTTGGCGCGATCACTTCACAAGTTACATAAACGTTTAACCACTATGCTGTACACTTGAAACTAATATTGAATGTCCACTGGAATTGAAAAATAAAAAAAATTGCAAATTAAAAAAAATTAAAAAATAAACAGGAAAAAAAACCAGCGTAAAATCGAATGGTTCAAAATAAACAGACCAACAAACAGAACCAGCCTAGAGTAGGCCACCAGGCACCTTCCACGGGCTGTCTTCTCTTTTACCAAGTTTACTTTCTCCTCTGCTTTTGGAAATTCCACTCATTCTTTAAGTCTGAGCCACATGATTTTACAGAGTCAGGAAGGGAAGGGAAGGCAGAGTGACAGAAGGGAGGGAAGGAGGGAGGGGGAAACCTAATATTTATCACGTTACATGAGAGCAAAGCGTTGACTGTCTTTCTCATCTCTAAACACCTTGGTACCTAGAACAGGTCCTGGCAAAGGGGAAAGTGCTCGGTAAAGATATGGAATGAATGAAATTACTGACACTGTACCGTGTGCTCAGGGCCATGTTGGATGCTTTTAAAAAGAGTAGTGAACAACTGGGCCATATTACTATATGACCCAGCAATCCCTCTCCTGGGTATCTACCCAAAAATCTGAAAACATTTATCCATAAAGATATATGTGCTCCGATGTTCATTATAGCTTTTTTTACAGTGGCCAAGTGTTGGAAACAACAAAACTGTCCTTCGATAGATGATTGAATAAAGATGTGGTACAGATACACAATGGAATACTACTCTGCCATAAGAAAAGATGAAATAGTGTCATTTGCAACAACATTCGTAGATGTTGAGATTATTATGCTAAGTGAAATAAGTCAGACAGAAAAAGTCGAGAACCATATGATTTCACTGATATGTGGGATATAAAACTGAAAGCAACAAAGGAACAAGACAAACAAATAAAGAAACAAAATCTCACAGACACAGACCATAGTTTAGTGGTTACGAGAGGGTAAAGGGGGTGGGGGGTGGTAGATGAGGGTAAAAGGGGGTCAAATATATGGTGATGGAAGGAGAACTGACTCTGGGTGGTGAACACATAATGTGATCTATAGATGATGTATTACAGAACTGTACACCTGAAACCTACGTAACTTTACTAACCAATGTCACCCCAATAAAATTTAATTACCAAAAAAAAAAAAAAACGTAAATACAACAACATGCCCTCCTTCATACACTAAGAGAATGCATTCCATGAGGCAGCGCCTTCAGACCTCAGGCTCATGCTGAAGCTGTGGCCCCAGCACGTCAGTTGGCAAAACAAGAGCCAGCAATAACCTAAGGCAGGGCCAGGAAACCCATCGCTCAAGAGCCAAGACCGGCCTGAAGACTGTTTGTGCACAGCCCAGGGGCTAACAACGGCTTTGACATTTTTAAAAGGGCTATAAAACAAAGAAAAGCAGACACCAGAGACTGTATGTGGCCTGCAAAGCCAAAAGTATTTACTATCTAGCCCTTTACAGAAAAAGTGTGCTGACCCTTGTTCTAAGGAGGCACTCAGAATTTGCTCTGTAGTTACTTTTATTCTAAAGTGTGTTTGGTTTGAACTTGCATTCAACCATAATGACACTGCAGGACTGGGGTCTGTCTGTGAGTGTTCTAGGGCTGTCCACACATACTCGATGTTCTTAGAGCAGCTCCGAAGCACTCAGTTATACAGCACACACCTTTGTTAACTCGTGCTTATGTGACTTTTTTCCCTAGGTGTTTTCCAACATGATTTTCTGGTTAGAGTTTTGCAGCGCAACAAAGCCCCCTCCCAGAAGATGTGTGGGTGGTAAAGTCAGAAAGGGGCTATATTGGCCCACTTGGTGTAACGATCGGAGGGCTTTGCTTTGGAGCTTTGCATGCATCTGGAATCTAGTTGAAATACTCGAGTTGTGACCTGATTACCTCTCTCTTCTATGTTTCCCTAATCTGGGAAATTTTTGGTCATTGTTTCTTCAGTGATTATTTTCTGTTCCAGTGTTCTTTTCTTCTCTTTCTATGACTCCAATTATCCTTATGTGAGCATGGTTCATATTGTACCACAGGTCACTGAGTCGCCATCATTGTCAACCATCTTTTCTTCCCATTTTCCAACTGGATAATTTCTATTCTTCTATCTTTTTTTTTCCCCCCCATCATTTCCGATCTGCTGTTAGACCCACTGAACGATTTTTTTTTTTTTTAAATTTCAGATAGTGTATTTTTCAGACTTAAAATCTGGTTCTTTTCAGAATGTCCTTTTTTGGCTTAGATTTCCTATGTGTTCATTGATTATGACTATATTTTTGTTATGCCTTTGAGCATAATTATTAATAGCTTCTTTGAAATTCTTGTCTATTAACCCCAACATAAATGTCATCTTGGCGTCGGTTTCCATTAACTACTGCCTTCTCTCGTGAGTATGGGTCACATTTTTCTGTTTCTCTGTACGTCTAAAAATTTCACATTGTTTCCTGAACATTGTGAATGCTATATTTACAGCAGTGCTGTTCGATAGATATAAAATGTGAGCCACATATGTGACTTTAATTTTCAACTATCCACGTTAAAAAAGAAACAGGTAAACATTTTAACCATAGCAATATTGTATTCGACTAGTGTATCCAAAATATTATTTCAACATGTACTCAATATTAAAAATAATGAACATATTTTACAATATCTTTCCATACTAAATCTCTGAAATCTGCTATTTTATATTTACAGCACATCTCAATTTAGACTACCTAGTGGCTACCACATTGATCGGCACAGCTCTAGAGGATCATTCTAGAAGCATATTGAGGGTGGGCCGAATACAAGCTACTCTATCATTATGGAAAGCAAAATCCTTGACTGACAGTTTGTAAGTTTTATTCCTTGGCATTCTGCAGAGGTGCCATGGGCTGTGAGATGGCGGGGGGAGGCGGGGGCTGAGTGCACTGGGCTATGTTTCCCCATGATATCTGTGCCTCGATTCAATAGAAGCAACTCTGACTTTATGTTTCATGTATTTCGTTGCTGTGCATAATTTAAAAAAGTATTTTGATACTAAAAATAGTTTGAAAACATGATTTAAAAATACGATTCTTGAATAGATGCCTAAGACCTTTCTTGCTCATCCATACCCTTGAACCTGTACTGACCTTTCCTTTTCTTGATTCATTACCCTGTTTTCTAATCATGTCACAAGAACCAGGCCATCTCTACTTTCAGGAGAAGTGGCTGTGGCCTATCTGATCTTTGAGCTGACATAGTGGCAAGTCCTTCCTTCTTTGGCCCCATATGTGTGATTGATTGATTGATTTACTGATTGATTGATGACTCTGTGGGCTGGCTGCTCATACCCAAGACACTCAAGAAAACTTCCAAAATTGAGCTGTTCCTTGTAGCCTTCAGCGTCAGGGTAGAATTTAAGTCTTAATGTACCAAGGAACACATACACCCAAGGAAACAAGTCTCACCTTCTTCCTTTCCCCCCGATTTTCCCTCTCTCACACACGTTTTACCAGCTTCACTAAGCAAAGGGAGTTGGCACCAGAAAAACCAAATGCTTTGTGAAACATTTTGCAACAGGCAAGTGGTACACATTGGGCTTATGAGACCCCAACACCGCCATGTCAAAAGTCCAGCCTCTTTCCAAAAGGTAAACATGCCTCAACCTGATACACAGAACCACAAAACACAAACCAAGCACCTCAAATGCAGAGCAGAATGGGAGACCAGGGGTGATAGTACCCAATATGACAGAGTCATAGTTCTATGCAAAGTCCTGCCAAAACGTGACTGGAAATCAGGAGGTTTAACCGATGAGCACGTCTCATACAATTTATCTCAGCTGGCAGCCCAAGAGAATTTGTTTCATGGCACGTGGGTAACACAGCCATGAGAGCTGGGGCTGGGAACACAAGGTCTGATGGGTTCCAAAGAGTGAACACTGAGACCTGTACTCACTGGAGTCCATTTCAGCTGCTGCCAACACAGGCTGAACACACCACTCACCTGTGTGCAGTTACTTACTCAGGAGCACTCCCACTCTGACATGGATTTCCTTTTTCTTCAAGACAAAGCAATTGGGGAATTGACATGGACCATTTGAAAGTCTATGACAATGGCTACTTTTGCTCCATAGCTGTTCCTCAAGGTCGGCGTCCCATAGGATGCCTTCCAGCTAGCATTGTACATTCCCATCAGAGTTCTGGCTTAGTAGCCAGAGATTTGGTCTTTCGAGCAGGTACAATTCAACCAGGAATATGGCACAGAGTGGTGCTACAGTATTCACTGTGTATCACCATGACCCCCCTGCCCCATTCGTGGGTGTGGCTGTGCCCTCCCTGGAGGGCCCACGCTGGAGAACACAGCTCCTTACCGTGACTGGCATGGGTGTGAGTTGCACCTTCGGACCTGGGGCTCTGGACGGCTTGCTGGAGGGCAGTCGCTGTCGTTCACCAAGGTCGTGGTCTTGTTCACAATTCGCGTGCAGGACACAATGGTTCGACGTTCCCCTGGAAACCAAACCACAGGAAACTGAGGGCCTGTAGCTGTACCCGCCTGGAAAGGCCATGCTTATGGAGGAGCGTTCAGAGGTATCTTTTGATCAGCTTGTCATTTAAGTGACTGATTCGTCATCAGGGAGGGAGAACTATAACCTTAGTGATGAGGGTGTGTAAGACATGCTTAGGGCAGTATGGGGCAGGAGGAAAATTCTAGAATAAGATCAGAAAGAGGCAACACCTCAGATCATCTGTGTCCTTGGATTGCTAGGGATTCACTGAGGCCAAAGTTCTGATTGGGGTCTTTAATTTCCACCCACGGTTGCCAATCTCTCATGTGTTCATTTGATGTTTAAAATCCATGGAGTTCCAGTCTTGATTAAATACCCCTACATCAGTTCTCACCAGAGGTCATAGCTTCCTATTAGGGAATTTCGATTTGCTGGGGAGAAGTGAGAAAAAAGGACACACAGAGACCTGCATCTAGAGCCCATCTGAGAACTTGTCTAGCCAGCCAACTGCTACTTGTGTCAAAGTCACCTCCTCTTGGGGAAACTGCGCTAACCTGTCACCCTAGCTGGAGGTGGCCATTTTCTTGGGTGTTCCCAAACCACCTTACCCACTGCTTGGCCCTGGACTTTGTTAGGGAGGAAAATTATGGGTAGCTAGGTGGGTGGCCTCTGGAGCCAGGCTGCCTGGGTTCAGACTTGGCTCAATCATGATCAATAGTAAGCCACCATGTTTCTGTGGCTCAATTTCCCTTCCCGGACTGGTTCACTTAACCTCCCTGTGCCTTAGGGGTCTTCAGGGATGGTTAAAATGAACTGATACATGCAAAGTGCTCAGAGCAGTGCATGTTAACTATATTCCTGTGTGATTATTATTTGGGAAGTGTGGCAACAAAAGATGAATAGAATGTCAAGCACCACTATTAGTATTTGGACCCCAGACTCCTTGCTTGGTCTGACTCCCGGGGAATTTGTCATGTAGGAATAACTCAACGTTATGGAGTCCTGAGCTACACTGCCAGCACCCCCTGCCCACAGCTGCAGCCTTGTGAGGTATAGAAAGCACGGGGGCACCTGAAGCCACATTTCAGTTTTGGCTGCAGGTCTGACAGCTGTGTCAGGGAGCTGGGAGTCATCGGTGTCATACAAGGATGCCACTGGGACAGCAGCGACACAGCAGCCCTCCCTCTACCCTCAGGGAAGGGAACCTTCTCACTATTCCATTTGGACCATGCCTGGTTTGCAGCAAGTTGCCCAAGAGGAAAGTCTAGTGACATTAGGAATATGGGCGTTGGCTGGATTTGGAGGTTGGAGGGCCATCAGCAGAGGGACAGCTGAGCGACAGGGGGACTCTCAGGGAGAGGTGAAAACTAGAAGGATCACAGGGCTGATGGCGGAACCCTAAGGCTGTGCCGACTGCCATGGGCTGCTTGAGGCAGAGACTGAGAACAAACAGTGAGGGTGGGTACCCAAGATGTGCAGGACAGGGAAGGAATTCACAGTCGACCGTGGCCCAGTCATGCTACGGCGACCATTCCTGCCCATCAGAAATAGAAGCAGCCCCTTTAATGGCAAACAATCCTCTACGTACTGGATATCTGACTAACGTCATCACAGTGGTCAATAGCAGTGCAGGGCTGGGGATGGGTGGGGTCATGCCCAGGTTCCACCCTGCCATCTCACTCTCTGTGTTGGCATTCCAGAGGCCAAGGCATCCTTCTGTCCTAACTCTGTGCCCATCAAAATCCACCCATCCTGTGTCCCACCTCCCATAGCCCCACGGTGGGTTCTGTCAGGGCGACAAATGACATTGTACTGAGGGGCTGCTGGCTGTGAGTTCCGAATTGCTTCCTATCACTGCTCCTGAGCAAAACAGTAATGAATGAACACAGTGGCTTTTATTCATACTGATTTTTGCAGTATGACAATCTCCTCCCTGCAGTGGGTGTGAGGGCGGATCATCCTTTCAGAGGTGAGGAAATTCAGGTAGAGAGAGGTAAGTCATTTGCTAAAATGTGGCAGCAAACCGTTAAATGAAGCCAGGACCCATGTTCCAGACGCTGCACAGGACATGTAGGACTTTTTCTTTCCATTGTATCCTGTAGCGGGGTCACCATGGCAAAGAGGAAAGGGTGGAGGGAGAAACATCTGCTCATGCCCAGCCACTAAGCGGTAAAAGATTAGGGTCTGTTCTGCTGATTCCCAGCGTCACCTGTCATACACCCCTGTAACATAGCCAGACATTGGCCAAACCCCCACTCACAGATCAGAGTCGGGGGCCCCATGCACAGGCAGACCAGCCATGTGGGCACAGCTCCAATGTGTCAGAGTTGGGGAGACTCTGTCCAAGCATTTTGCATCGAGATTTGCAGTGGGACCTGGTTAAGCTCCCAGGGTGCGTGGTCAGCCTGTCCGACGCTCAGGGCCCTGGCCGCAGAGGGATATGACTTCACTTCTTCCTTTAACGAGAGCCTCTCCACCCCCCACCCCCCACCATGAGCCCAAACCCAGTGCTCACCTCCCCCACACTGCACGCTGCACCCCTCCCAGCCGCTGTGAGTCCAGATGAACAGCGAGTCCTGCGGCTTCTCCGGTTCACTCTGATTTTCAGCCGTGGAGTTGACAGGAATGGTATATTCGTAATGGATTCCATAATTCTGGTCATGGAATAACAGCACCTGGATGGGCAGCGGCAGAAAAAGCCATTGTGAAATCACTCGCTAGCCTACATGGTTGCTGAGGTTGCAGGGGGAGCCTGTCAGGGGGACCCAGGTCCCTTCTGGGTTTCAGTCCATGTTCAGTCTCGGGAGCTCCTTTCCTTTCAGGGTGGGGTTCCCCAGATATTCAACTTGGGGCAGGAGCATATGTAAGTCGTCAGCGGGGAGCTCTGCTCTTTATTTACTCAGGAGGGCATCTGAGCAAGTGGCATTACTCTAGTTCTTTGAAAACGAACATCCCTCTTCACTCGCGTCACCACTCATCGCTCTGTGTAAAGCGGGTTCAAAGGCGAACACTGCCCACTGCAGGGGGAGCTGTGGACATCTGGTCGGGAGCCCAAAGATGCGTGAGCCTTCCCACCAGCAAGGAGCTAGGATAACAATGATGCCCACTGGGTGGCAGAGGCCTGACTCAGGGCTTAAAGCTCAAAGTGAGGGGTGGGGAGCCATCCTTCAGCTTGGGGACTGTGGGGTCTGAAATCCTGGTGAGTGAGGAGATGGATGGGTCCACTCTTTGTCTGGTCATGCATGTGACAAGCCTTATAAGGACAGAGATGCTCTACCAGCTTAATCTGTCTACATCAATGGTACAAATTAATGGTGCGAAACAAGCCCTCCTGTGGGCGCTTGAAGTGGCCTGGCCGTGGGTGATGTGTTCTCAGGCTAGGCTTGGAGCCAGTGGGTCCTCCTGGGTCTAAGCAGCTAGCGAGTTCACTTCCAGCCCGGGAGCCCCGGAGAGCAAGCCAGCGGGAGCTAAAGGCAGGGTGTGCAGGGCCCACCTGCCCTGACTTGGGGAAAGCCAGATGGGAAGTGTGCCAGACACAGGAGCCATCATCCCTCCCAAACATTCCTCGGCCTCCAAGGGCTTGGGTGCCAGGGTGGGGGTGGGGTGCTCAGAGCAGTCCAAATAGCATAAACACGCATTTCTCCAAGAAGTGGATGCAACAACGTATTTGGAAAAATGCCTCCAATTTAAAAAACAAAAACTCTTTAAAAGAGATCTTTATTATCTCAGTATGGGAATCAGACTGGTGAATCGCAAATCCATATGAAACCAATTTCATGCAATTTTGCAGCCACATATAATTGGTGTGCCTGTGCATAACTGATTTCAAATGCGGGTCCCCATGGCTCTCGATGTGCTCCCGACCCTGCAAGCAAACAGTGTGTGCACGCTGGTTTGGGGACAATGGGATTCTATTTGCAGGCACTTCTTATTTCTAGGTTTAAAAACTTGAAGTAACCATCATATTTCAAGAGAGAACAGTGATTACTATGAAAGAGGGTTGGGAGTTCAGCTGCAGCAGCTGTTGCTTTCTCTGACTTATCATGGTCTGAATGAGTCCAGGCTGTGCATTTGCTAACGCTCCACTCCGTGTATGAAAGCTTTTAGGAACGATGGGAAACGTATCCATCTTGGCATTAGCTCGACAAAGCATGTGCTAACAGGTGACATTTCGGTACAGGTTTCATCTTGTCCTCTGCTTCCTCTTTTAGCCCCTCCAAAAGCATATCTGCTTTTACATCAGAACAGGAGGATTTGTTCTAAGGATTTGGTCTAGGAGACAGTCTTATCACAGAGAAGTGACTGGGGTACAGGCTCTTGGGTCCTAGAAACCAACTTGCAAGTGTCTACCTGCATGAGACCTAGTGGACTGAGTGTTACAATGAGAGATTTCTAGACAGTCTATGTCCTGTAGGAAAGCCAGCTTGCTGTGCGCTTATGAGAAATTATAATTCTATAGTGCCATCGCAGGCAACATTGCATCCATTGCCAGGGCTCACGGGCACAGTTGTTCCCTTGGGAGATTCCCTGGGAGGTGGCCAAGGAATTCTTTGGGTGTCACCTACCCTCTAATGGCCGCAGGTTGGCAGAAACCACAAATTAACAGGGACAAAGAACTTCCAAGCAGAGACGGTGCCAAGCACTGAGGATAAAACGTGCTTTGATTATAGACACACAGGCTGCCACACATCCCGTTCTTTGGAGGGAGACACACAATCAGTAATTAGGAGCTATCAGAAGTTAGCCATGAGAGCTCCTGGATGCTGAGAAGGAATCAGTGGCACTCCTTTCCCTGGCGAACTTGGATATTCTTAAAAGGATGCATAACCAGGTGTTTCAGGTATGCACGGGGTCCTCCCTCACAGGAAAGACACAGGGGCTCCCACCTGGCCTGACTGCACAGGTTTCTTGAGACCACCCCGCGAGTAAATATCCCCACAAAACCTGGTTCTCCCTCCTGGTTCCCGAATGCTTGTTGCAAGCGGAGTCTAGAAAATTTGAGTGATGTTGGTTTGGAAAGAAACAGTCAACAGCTCATTTCCAGAAGATAATTTCCAGCGTGGACCTATAAACTGTGCGGCAGATCTATGCCATCTGATATAAAAACACAGACTCTGAGCGGGGCTGTCTGCTTAATGAGGCTGAGTCTCCCTGGCTGCCACATGGTTAAGCATTTCCTTCCTAGAGGCGGTTCCTTTTGAAAAAAGACAGGGGAGCTCTGCCAGTGAGAGTTCTGAAGCACACCACAAAAGAGATTAGATAAGAAAAGATCAAGAGAGAAGCCTGAGCTGCAGGTGGCCAGGTAAACCACCAGGAACCAGGTGCATCTCCACCCTCTCCCCTCTCCCCCACCCAAGGCCCCAGGGAAGGAGTAAACTGGAGGACCACTTAGAGTCTGAGTCTCAAGACAAATGCAAAAAGCACAGCAAGTTACCATCAAGTGCAGTGGAACTTTGGTTGGTCCTTTGGCAGAAATTTTCTCCCACAAGCCCCTGCGAACGTAGCGGACGGTCGTGCCTGCGATCTGGAATTCTCCAGGGAGCTCAATCTTCCAGTCACTGTTGATGGATCTCTTCCTGGAGTCTTTGAGAGCTGGAAAGGAAACAGAACAGCATGGAATCAAGGAGACCCGGTCTGTCATTAAAGGGAATCTGGGTGTCCTGTGTGATGAGTCAGAGGCCTCACCCTCCACGGGGGACGAGAGGGAGGCCTGACGTGGGAGAAGGTGAGCTTCCATGCAGGAGCCTGTTCCATGCAGGGGCACAGGAGCCTGGCTCATAGGGACAGCTCAGGGTCCACAGGCCCCTCTGAGAAAACTGTCCTGGCTGCCGCACCCATGTCTGCACGGGCTGTGTGTCAGCATCAACTCACAGCGTGGGGGTGCGGGGAGGACCACCTGGGGTGGGGACAGCCACAAAGGGTTTTCTGATTGATGAATGGATTCTATTTTCATGGGTCCGAGGCTACAAAACAGGTTTTGCTGCTTTTGCAAAAAAAAAAACCCACCCCAAAACAGGTTTTGCTGCTTTTGAAACCCCCCGCACCCCGCATCATTCATTTCACAATTACCTTCCTGGGGCTTTTCAAGGAGGGGAGCCTAACTCCAACATCTCTTAAGGATTTGCTACCTCTTTGCCAGTCAAGTAAACATTCCTTTAAGAAATAAGCATTATCCTTAAGAAGTACAAACTGCCAGTTACAAAAGTAGTCAAGGGGATGTAAAGTACAGCACAGGGAATATAGTCAGTAATATTATAATAATATTATAATATTACTATCTGTGTCAGGTGGGTACTAGACTTATTGGGGTGATCACCTGATAAGGTATATAAATATCTAACTACTATATTGTCACCTGGAGCTAATATAATATTGTATGTCAACTGAAAAATAAATTAATTAAACACAAACAAAAAGAAATAAGCATTGTCCTATTAAATATGAGAGCCTGGGAAGCCAAGCTGCCCACAGATACGGCGATGACACGTAGCTGACACCATGCGGGTGGTGGGGTCCCAGGGCCTCAGGTCTGCACTTGGCTTGCTCACTACTCCTCTTTGTACAAAATGTGTTGGAAGATACAGGGAATCAACATTTTGCTGATTGGCCATAAGCAAAAATCTGCTTTTTCATACAAGCCATGTATGTCTTATTATCTGAGTCCTCACTTCGATTTGCACTCATTCTCAGGAGCAGAGCACTCTGCAGTGAAATTTTGTTGTTTTTGTTTTGCTCTGTTATTTAGGGAAGGGGAGGGGAGGGAGGAGAGGGAAGGAGGGAAGGGAGGGAAGGGAGAAAGGGAGAAAGGAAGAAAGGAAGAAAGGAAGAAAGAAAGAAAGAAAAACCCTAACTAGAACCTACTCTGGAACTTGGGAGAGAAGGTGGAAAATGACAAGTGACAGCCTTTAAGTCTCTTCAAAAACTGAAACCCCCAGCCCACCTGCAGTCCACACCCACTGCATGTGAAACCCGAGTGCCCTGGTGCCCCAAAAGCTCTCCATGACTTTGGGACCCTCAGTCTACACTGAGCAAAATCAGGTTCTGGTCCACTGTCCCCTCCCTGCCCACTGAGGCCAGCCATAATATGCGCACACGTAACACCAATTTCAGATCACAAGAGTTGAAACCCAACAGGGGTTTGGGTGAAGCCTGAATTCATGAGCTCCAGGCTGGGTTAGGACCCAGTGGGTCCAGTCCTACTCAGGCCACAGGCAGCTGGGGGACGCTGGGCCCTCGCTTCCTCATCTCCAGGACATCATGGTCCCAGGGCTGCTCCTGTCCAGCCATGCTGCAGGCACACAGAGGAGACGCCTGCTTGGGACTCCCCGCCTACAGGATCTGCCAAGAGAAATCAAGGGGAATAAACGGGAAGGGCTGTTTCCAGCAGAGCGACTTCCACTGGGGCTTCATATCCAGGGCTGTGCATGGTGAGCGGGGGGACCATTATTGGGCTCCGGGAAAGGCTTAGGAGACAGAAAGCTCCACCCCTCAGAACTGAAGGTTTTCCTTCAAGAAATTCTCCTGCTATTGAAATTTCCTGGCTGCTCAAAAGCAGCAGGGATGCTGCTGGCCTTGCTCTTTCTGTGCCACCACCAGCAAGCCACCATTTAGGGACACAGTCTCTGCTTTAGCTCCTTCCTGTACTTTTACCCATTTCACCATCTCCAAGCTCTTTAAGGTAAAGCATTGTTGTCGGCCCTTTGTATCCACGGGTTTCCCATCCGTGAAGTCAACCAACGGTGGATCGAAAACAGTCCGAGTCCATGGGTGTGGAGAGCCAACTGTATGCCTTGTTGTATAAGGGACTTGGGCATCGATGGGGGTCCTGGAAGTAATCCCCTGCAGATACTGAGGGTCAACTGTATTGTCCTCTTCGCACCGATGAGGAAAAGGGGCACAGAGAAGTTAGGTAACCAATCTAAGGTCACACAGCTATTAAGTTGTGGAGTGGGGACCTGAATCTAAACTGATCGAGCTCAGCACTCTTCTAACTCTAGCCAATTTTAATTCCCATGTTCTTTAGGTTATAGCATCCATGTGGATCTTTATGACAAATGCTGAAATGTTCACATAAATGTCTTACTTCATCTCAAAGAGAACAAATTCCAGGCGCTAATCACCACAGGGTCTCATAGTCTACATGCCTTTATAAAAATAGCTAACCTTATGGAATTCCAAAGCTTCCAGTGAACTAATAACCTAAAATATAGTTGGTTATGTCAATTATCAGTGAATTGAGGTAAAGGCTAGCACCCCAGGGTCCTTCCTAACATAAGCTCAGCACCCCGAGACTTGGAAGGCCTGGCACACGCATCCATGTCTTATACTGTGTTCACCCCTCTGTTTCCACAGGGACCCTGATACCCCCAACGAGGTGGCTCTCCCCCACCGGCCTTGTTTGTGCATTTCCCTGGCCCTTTCTGAAAAGTGCTTTAAAGTGACTTATTGAAAAGTGACTTATAAACTGAAAACTACCCGCCTCCATGCCAGAGGTCAGGAGCCTGGAAAAAGTGCAGGAGGGTCCACGTGGAGATTATAAAACCATCCACAGGTACACTGTGCAGGGGTGTGGGGCCGACCTGGGAAGCCCCGCTCGTCGGCAGAGGCACTGCTGTGGGTGAGACACAGGGGAGCAATGCAGAGCCAGCTGGGGCTTGGGGCGTGCCACCCTCCAATCCCCAGAGCAGGGTCTTGCTGGTCAGTAGGGGGAGTGCTGAGAGGGGTGGGCGGAAGAGACATTCCAGGAGGTGGTCTGCTGGGTGGGTCAGGTGGGTCAGGGCAGGGCACAGGAGTGAGTGTGGTCGTGGGAGAAGGGGATGGATGTGAGAGGCAGGCTGTGGCTAACCCACTTTTTTAGAACAAGACCCACAGCTGAAAGGGGGGAAACATGTCAGACCGTGGAGCACTGGCGACAAGCTCTCTGGTGACAGAAGCCTAGATTTATAGCACTGTGTTACCCAAGCTGTAAATGGTCCCACCATGGCAGAGTTCAAGTTATGCACGTGACCTCAGTGAACGCAGAGCGGCAAAGAGATGGGAACCAACAGCTCTCCCAAGCCACAGGCCACTGCCATGGCATTCCCATGAGTTCTGGAGGCGCCTGGCTTGGCTTTGGAGGTCCTGGTCTGGAGCTGCTGAGTTGGTGAAATCTCACACTCTCATAGCTTTGGAGGATGCTGCAGAGAAGCAGAGCTCTTACGGCCCCTGGGAAGAATAAACTTTGCACAGCCAGGCTCTGCTCGTGGCCATCTCCACGGAGGCTGCAAGCTTCCAGGTGCTGCAAAAGCAGGTTTTCAACCCCCTGTTGGCCCCCCACTGAGAGCTGGGACCCCTTCCTCAGGACAGTCTGATGAGGACAACCTCTCATGCATTTCTGCAGGGGGAGGAAAACACAGAAGCAGTTCAAAAGTCGGAGGTCAGCAGTTCCAAAAAGGGTGGGGCTCACTTCAAACCTCTCGGCTTTGGTGTATTTAGTCAAACTTTGCAGGTTGCTGTGGTCCAAACTGAGAAATCACACCTCGGTGCTAAAATCGGGATGAAATGACTGCATTCCTTCGAAAAGGCGAGACTTCAGCCGCAGAACATTAATGTCATGACTAGCAGTGAATAAACAGGTTTGTGTGGAGTCCAGTGAAAAAGCAACCTAGTGGGGCCGTGTCAGCTCCAGAGGAGAACGCAGGTCATCTCCGGGCCCTTCTGTGGCAGCCACACCCCAAGCCCCAGAGAGCCAGTGAGGCCGGGCTCCAGCGCCCCTGGCAGGGATGAGTTCTTTCCAAAGCCGTGTTCGTGATGTTATAGTCTTTTCTTTCTTTTTCTTTTTTTTTTTTTAAATTTTATTGGGGAATTGGGGAAGGAGAACAGTGTTGGGAATTGGGGAAGGGGAACAGCCAAGTTGTCGTTCAATCTTAGTTGTGGAGGGCGCAGCTAGCTCAGCTCCAAGTCCAGTCGCCATCCTGCCACCTGTTGGCAGCTCAGCGACAGCTCAGCTCGGGCGCAGCTAGCTCACTAGCCCATGTGGGAATCGGACCAGCCAGCGAACCTGTTGCTCAGAGCTCATGATCTTAACCAACTGAGCCACGCAACCGCCCCCGTTATATTCTTTTCTTAAAGAAGGCCTCCAACCCCCAAATTAAATAAGTTTGATTCTTGGGCACCAATGGGTATATATGCAAGCTCTTTTCGTCTGTAATAAGCATTTTCAGATGAGTTTGTCTTTGAAAATTAGGATTTTTAGACCTAAAAACTCAACTGGGCTATTAAGATCATGACAAATGCTTTGATTGACTGGGCAAATAAC